AAGAGGATCGGAGGGCGCACGTTTGGTCGATCACCTAATATCCGTTCTAATCGAAAGAAATAGGGACATCTTGATAGAAGTTTATCTGTATTATAGAATTTCTTATTTAGTACAGTCATATTTTTTTAATTCCTTATTAAATAGAGAAAAATAATTAATAGATTAAAAATAAAATAAAAAAGTTTTCATACCCCATAAACTTCTCCGTCCTTCATCTAAATCCTGCTCCGATAAACCCCATCCAGTCTGATCATTCAATCTTGCTGCTGCTCGATAGGATTTCATCAGATTGTCATACTTGTAGCCAACTTTAACAACTTCTTTCGTAGGAATAACTGTTGTAATTTCAGCTATTATCGCTTTCTTGGTGATCCCGGAACCTTTCTTCAACTTTTGTAAGTTGTTTGGATCTTCGAGCCATTGGATTAGCTTTTCTGTCTCAGCCTTGGTCCAAGCAGTATTTTCAGAAAAATTGCGTCGCATTTTGACTATCGCTCAACATTGCACTGCGACTTTGTCGTTCAGATTGGTTGTGATCCTACGCAGATGAAAAAATTTTCACATTATACGCTATACTAGTAGCTTACCAATACTTGTTTCTGGTATACATAAGGATTCTCAAATATAATACTTGAAGGTCTGAAATACAATTGGCCCACTTGCTTTAGTAACCTAATGCATGTTATAGTAAAAACCTCTTCCTACCCACAACCTTTTCTAACTTTGAATACCACTACTATGTTTAACCGGGAGAAACCTGCTCGTATGCTACTTGAGTAAACCCCCCCCCTCACTCATGCTCACTCCTTAGTGAATTACTAGTACTCTAGTACAGCGAACCGTCAAACTTTTGATTCTCCTTTTTTTCTACCCACTTTGGTGGTTACCGGTACGGCTGAGTTACGGGTTCACAGCTCACTTTTGAAAGAAGGCAGCGAGGGGATCCGTAACACTGGCACTGGTATTGGACGTTTTTAGTGGGGTTGCGCTGTATATGCGCCATTTATACGACTAAAAAGGGAGGTGGGAAAGCGAAGCCCTTGGATTCGTCCGCATTGCTGGTGTTTTGAATTCTGGTACTCGAGTCCAGCGCGAGCGCGGCAGAATTAGTGAGCTTCTCTGGGGCTTCTGGGCGAGGTTTCCTATATTTCTCCCCGTTGTCTCTTCCCCAACATAGCATACGGGCTGTGCAAATTCGTAATTCGTCCGGGGCTCGCTGATGTTGCCAACACAGAAAGGTCTTCTTGGCGTGACTTCCCCAATGATTTACATCCCGCCTTTCCGGTGGGGAGCGGAAAACTGCGGGACCGACTTTCTACGGTCCGATTGGGAATACTGGAATTATTCTTATCAGCCAATTGGACACCGATTGGTGTTCATTCACGAGGCTGAGGTTGATATTTCTACCCCGCGTTTTAAATTCTTGCTCGCATCCTTTGACTGCCCCAGCCCTGGATTCGCGCCTCCCTACTAAAAACAGCTTTACTTCTTACCTCGGGCTTCTAAAGGATTATCCGATATCAACATGGAGCGAGAAATACTCCCTAGCCCTGGATTTGCTCCCTTCCCGGAGGTTCCACGGGACAGGACAGTCTTTGGTGACGTGCTATCCGCCTTGGATACGCTCGGTGGGGCGGTAAAACGGCTAGAAAGCCATCCGCTAGCTTCAGAAAACCTATCCGAGAGACTGCAAAAGGTCGAGGATGCGGCGGTATTGAAGGAGGAGCTCGGTAGGCTTTGTTCTCGCTTCGAGGTGTGTGAAGGCAGGGTATCGGAGGTTGCGGGTCGACTGGAAGCGGTGGACTCGGAGGTCACGGATGAAGTGAGAGGTTTAGGAAGTAGCCTGGGCGGGATCTTGGAGAGGCAGGATGTCGCCAGGATGAGGGTCGAAGCCTTGGACAGGGTTTGTCGGGAATTGAAAGAAAGCGTCCAGAGCATGAGAGAGGATTTCCTTGCCTTGGGGAATAATATTGGTAGCTTGACTAGCCGGATAGAGGCCTACGAGGAGAAGGTGATGAAGCTTGGGGATGGCTTGAAATTGGCTCACTCGGTGATGGCGCAGGAGAGGGATAGGTTATCTATCACAAGGAACAAGGTGGATGAGATCACCGAGGCACAGAACGAGGTTGATCTGCGTGTCGCGGGGTTGGAAAGAGGCTATCGGAATATGGATGAGGTCGTCCAATCCGTGAAGAGCCATTCATTTTTCACGAACGTGACGGAACGAGTCAGCGTCCTGGAGCGACGAAACGGGGAATTGACTGAGGCTGTAGAAACGCTCGTGATGATATCGGAGGAGGCGGCTGCAAGAAAAGCTAAGGGTCTGCGGGGATCCCGGTTCACAAAAACTCGAGACGATATGAACCCAATGTATGTTTTCTTAATTTCCCCTTACTCCCTTCCCTCGTGTTGAGCCGACTAATGGGCATGCAGAACCCACAACGTCCTGAAAAAGGGTAGAAATCTGGGAGTAGGCCCCCTTGGGAGCGTAGATATTGCTCTGTGGAGGGATTGGGTTGGAAGCAGGATTGAAAATCTTCCCCAGAGCCGAGCTGAGATATACCATTTATCCCGTTGGTAACCTCCTCATGCGTACACATTTATAACCCTAGGATCTCTTAACTAACCAACGCCATTTCCCCCGCGGACAAAACCAGGCAAGACTGCGCAAGACCTCCGATTCGTGACATCCCGTTACATGGATGACCTCGAACTGAGATGCAAGCACAGGCTGGGCCTGGCCGACGAGGTCAAACTAAGGCAATGGGCGATCGCGGTGGTGCTCTTGGTCATGTTTTTTGGATTCATCCTGATGGTAAGGGTCGCCCTTTTTTCTACCGGTAGGGCAGCACTACCCAGCAGTAGTTAAGCAGCGATTCTGGGATAGTTTTGGGTATTTCACTAACCGATGCCAAGCGATATATTTTTCAGCGGACGACCGAACACGAGCCGATCGTGGATTATGAGGGGTTACGGCAGTATTTGAGGGGGGTGTGACCGGAGGTGTATTTTGTGTTTCTTTGGTCATTCGTTGGGCACGCGTGGGGGGGTATGATCGATATAGGGATGATATATTACAGGAATTAATGATCATTTCCATAGAAGGTTTAAACATCAATTTCATTGCACTGTATTATCATGATACATTTTGTCCTGTTCTCCTGTTTGATATATACCTGCGGAGATTTTCTATCGCAAAAGGAAAGATCCCGGCAGAATACCTAGAGGTACATTACATCGTCCCGAAAGTGATCTAAATACCCGTCGCAAACTCCGCGGCTCTGCTAGTGCTCTGCTCCCCTCGTGACACGTCTCTTAAAGCACTACCGCTTCGAGATCGTGTACGAGTAGAGGAGGGGTCATTGCCCCCTTTTGCAAATTTATCCGTTTATACTAAAAGTATCCCCTACTGAGGTACAACCAATGTCTGAGCTCGGTACCGTGGCGCAGATATCCGTAATACTCAGATAACGGTGGTTAATGCATTCGTATTTCCTTGGCACGGGAAGATTGTCACACAACAGGCACGATCGCCCCGCTTTTTTTGAGCCCCGCTCGTGGAAGGTTCATATGATAGGAGTAAACTACCCCGATACCCCTGAAAACTGCGACACAGTTCCTAAGTCCGACAGACGTTTTCGAGAGATGTCATGGCATAAACCGGGAATGCGCTGTACGGTCGGTCAACATCGGCGACGGAAATGCCAACTGCGGCAACATCACCGGAGGTTTCGACTCAACGGGTACTCCTGCCGAGACAGTATACAAGTCCCACGAGGATGCACGGATTACGCATTGGCTCTCTCTGCTCGGGCCAAATATCGGCATCGAGGTGTAGACGGCGACCGGTTTCCGGAGACGGGGTTTTTTTTCTTGGAAATAAGCGAGTGGAGGGAGTAGAGGGGTGGTGAGGGTGGTGTGGATGAGGATATCTTATTTTGCAGTGGGAGTCCTGCAGTGTGGGCAAGAGGTATCTGAGGTAAGTGGCGGGATTCTCTGAAGGAAGCGGATAATGCTAATTGCTAGAAATACTAGTTTCCTGGTGGTAGACAGCCTCTGCGATTAGCCAGGGGAGGAAGATATTCCCGGTGTAGGCTCGTATTTGCGATCGCCTGGCCCAACGGGGGCAGACAATTGCCAACACGACGGGGGCTATTATGAAGCAGCTGTTAGGCGGAGGGGAAATCCAGAAGTATCTGCGCGGGGCGCTTCTTAAAGGGAAAATAGAGATTTGCGACAGAGGGATGAGACCTCCGGATCTAATAGAGGTGCCGAGGATCGCTATTGCCCTGCTACCCCAGGTTTCCATCTGTATCGATGCTCTGGACGAGTACCTGCCGAAGTAGCTTTTGGGGCTTCTTGAGTCGCTGAGTGGTATCGTCCGGGGTTCACCCATGGCGCGAATATTTCCGACCGGGAGGCCCCATGTCAAGGAAGGTATTTAAGGATATTTCACAAAGGCGATTGTGATACTTGTCAGTCCGAAGGTGGGTGATATCAGGAATTATCCGAAGATGAGGCTAGATAGGGACGCCGAGCCGGAAGCTATGAGTGAGGATTTACGGGCGGATATAGTGGGAATTATCGTGGATGGGATGTCCGATATGTGCGTAGGAGCACTTAGTGTTCCCGCTCTATCAATGATGTATACTTACCAGTGATTGTATGCAGATTCCTCCTCGCCCCGCCAAATATAGACGCTATCCTAGGGGGGCGATAATTCGACAGAGAAGAAAGAGCTTGAAGAGATGATACAAGGGCACGGGCTGGGAGATGCCTACACCGCGACTCTGACGCTGCTGGGGGGGAAACGGACGGGTAGTAAAGTTGCACTTGAAATGCGGGGGTGTTGCTCCTGATCTGGTAGACGCCAAATGTGCCCGGGCACCACTCTCGTGAGCGGCTGGGCCGAGGACGCGAAGGGGTGGCAAGGGTTCTGTTTGGGCGAGAGGACGTCAATCCCGACCAGGCAGACACCCAATATGGCCGGACAGCGCTCTCTTGGGCCGCTATGCGCGGGTATGATGGAATCATGCGGATTATGCTGGACGGGACGATGATAATTCTACCACAGTAGATTGTGGTAGCCAACATGTACTCTGGTCCGCAGACCCCGATAAGCGCGAAGGGCTGTTGCGTCTCGAGAACTTTGTTCCTAGTTCCTCTGATCGCGACCTCTCCTCAAACAAAGTGCCCGGGGTTCTTAACGCCCTTACATGCGGTTCCTGAAGTTCCGGTACCCTTCCGGCAAAATTGACACTCATCCTAACAATACTCGATCAACCCTCCTCTTGCCGCCTACCGGTATTGGATAATCGCCTCTTTTGTTTCTACCTTGGCTTTTCTTGTTTTCATCCTTCCTTCGTTCCCCGAAATATTCTCATCCTATTAATGGCTACCGTATGAGGGATCGGTGCAGGCATGATCGCGGTTGAACTATGGGTAAATCGTCTTTGATAGAGGGTGTTTTTCGCGTTTTGGTCGAAAACTCGCTATTTTCTACTGCAGTTTTTTTTTTCTTTCCATTCTCCGCTCTTTCTTCCTTGAAGTTCCAGTGTCTCTTATTCTTTATTCCCGTTATTTTGCATTTTGTGTGTGTTGTGGTGCACAGTACCAACTTACCTGGTTCATTTTGCTATGCGGACAGCCCACAACCCTAACCCACCGATCTCTCACGATACAACACTTGATTCTAACTCTCCGCAATGAAGAAAGTGAAAACTACCACTGCGAGATGATTGCTTATTATGAGCAGATTTGGAACATGAGGAGGTGGTTGGGCGGGTTGGGACTTTTTTTTTGGGAGGGCACGCTGTTTTTTCCTCCCTTGAGCTATAGGAGGGTTAGGGGTATAAACTGTCCACCTAGCTTATGAACCAGCGAGTAAGTCCCTCCCAACCAAACTTGTAGGGGCGGGTTGCGGGCATCCAGTTTATCTCCTCCTAGTAATCCCTCGGATACCGCCGGGTGATCGCCATTGGTCGCTCTTCCGGTTTTCCTACTGCAGTTCTAGTTCTACTACCGTATATCCGTGTGAGGGCAGCCCAAACCCGTCCGACTACAAGCCGTGCAACTACGATACAAGCCTCCGGACCACAAGCCTTCAAACTACGGGCCGTCCGACTACAAGTCCTATGATGGTTACAAGTTTTACGACAGCTATAAGACAACCGACCCATACAAGCCTTATCCGTCCGACTATAAGCCGTACAACGGTTACAAGTCCTACAATAGCTACAAGACAACTGACCAAGCTCCGCCTCTCCCATTTCCCTGACCCCACTTTCGCCTTCCTATTTTGGAAGTGGATGAGGGGCAAACCTCCAAACACCCTCACGATCCTCCTCCCTCGCCAACTTGGGGCTTCATAGTCTTGGATGTCAACCTTTGTCTTTTGGGTTTATCTGGAAGACATGCCCCTTCTAGCACCCGGTTGCCTCGCTTCCTCTGCTAGATCTTGGCTTTAAAAAATTCTCCTCCCTCCGCAGTGGCACCCTTGCCTACAGCTGTGTAAGGTCATGAAATTTTGTCCTTTTCTAAGCCCTTTGTCCCAGTGACTTTCCGCTTAGTTAGATGTACGACATAACGATGACTGGAATAACTGACGCCGTTGGGTTGATATTGCACTGTCTCTAGCTCCGCCACCGTCCCCCCAGTCACAATAGTTTCCTACGGGGGCCAGCATGCCCAAGCTGCCAGTGGACACCCTCGATACGTTAAGTGGACGATTTTCGGGTCGCCCCTGTATTCCTGTCTGCTCGCAAGGGCTGGGCCGGGCGAAAATGGGGGAAAGGGGTGTGTCTCCATTGAGTTCTTTTGCTTTGTTTCTTTTGTTACAGGTGATTACGGAAGGGGGTTTTCTTGTTTTTTCCCCTTGGACAGCAGTAGAGGTTTCTGACGCCATAAATTTAACAATTATTTTTGCATGCGGGGTCTGTACCATAAATTTTACGATTTAAAAAAACACAAGACAACGGACCCATACGAGCCTTATCCGTCCGACTATAACCCTGGCTTACAGTAAGTATTTAACTAAGTTACCTGGGAACGGCGGCGGTTGTATCGACGTGAGCCCGCCTGCCGCTCACACGGCTACAAGTACAGAATCAAAAAATTTAGTCCAGCGCTAATTTTTACACCAACCTCGGCGAGAATGTGACATCCTTAATGTGACAACCTCCCACGTTACATTATCGAAAGCAGGTAGAATTTTGTGCTTCACATGTTAAATCCACAGAGAAAAAGGGTGCACATCTGGACTTATTATTTACTCCCATCGTACCGGCTGGTATGAAAATCATCTTGCAACGCTGTGGGGGGCCTCATGTCGAGAGTATCACATGGCGTCTCATACCTCCTTCCCGGGCAACCGACCTTTTTTTTCCCCAATAGGATTGCAGTTTCTGAAGAGGCCTCTGAAAATTCCCATATTCTCTGTCTCTCGGCGGTTTTCTGTGGAATTCTGGTGGACTGGCAGGCGTTGGTTGGTGTTCTTGGGGTGGGGTGGAGTGTAGTGAGGTCGTCCGGCTAGATGGCTTCACCGGGTGGCGATACAGTACAGTACTTACCCGCATTGTATAATAAATATGCACATATCTGGTGACCCGGGAAGGCGAATATAAAAGTAAAGTGTAGAATATGATAGCCCTCTAGTATATACGATCCGGATATCGATGGGGTATTCATAGGGTATCACTCGATAAATGTCACCTAAGGACGGACAGACACTTGACATGGCATCATACTTGACGAAAGAAAGAAAAAAGAAGAAAAAAGTGACGGGAAGGAAGATACTACTGTTTGAGAAGAAGTCAGTCAAGAACGGGTATACACATAGTCGGTGACAGGAGTGCAAATATTTTCTGGAGCGTGAGGTGAACTAACATTGGTTAGATTTACCGTGGGAGTGTTTGTCCAGGGGGTGCTGAAGCCTTGCGTGCATGGAGCCAAGCTTCTAACTTAGTGCTCTGGGCTCTGTGATAATGTGCTCTGCTATGCCCCGTTCTCGGGGTTCCGCTGGGTTCGCGATGGACCTGAAGTAAGCCTAGGTCAACTGCTTTCCATGTGAAATGTTCGGGGAAGGGACAGAGGTCAACAGGGAACGAAATTAGGGTATTTTAATCCACGATAAAAATTAGATT